TGTGTGCGCGCACGCACGCGTATATGTGTATATACATGCAGACTGTTAAATTAGTTAAGCAAGGAGGCCATTAGAGTAAGGTGGCTCTAATGCTATGGTGGCTGATGTAAGAAAACAAAAATCTAAGCCTGTAAATACCTCGAAGTTATGGAATCAAAACACTAAGGATAACCAATCACAAACAGCCAACCAGGCTTTAACTTCTAATTAATCAACTAATTTTCTTTCTTTGCTTCCCCACTTTCTCTAGATGTCATTCCTCTGGTTCCTGTCTGCCCAACACTCCTAACCACTTCCAGTTTGGTGCTGCCCAGTTGGAAAGGATTTTTGCTCAAATAAACTCTTAAAATTTTTAATATGCTTCAGTTTATCTTTTAACAGATTATATATATGTATATATGCATACGTAGAGATAGAAAGAAAGAGAGAGGGAAAAGAGAGAGAGGAAGTGAGAGAATGTGTGGAGAGGGAGAGGAGTAGGGGGAGAGGGAGGGGGAAAGAGAGGGGCTGGAGGCCCCCCAAATAATTTTCTTCATAACTTTGCCCCAAGTCAGCTCTATCATTAACAAGAAAACAACGCTGGAAAGGATAAAAATCATTCTACCCACAGCCCTGAGTATGAGGCCAAGCCTACAATTGTGGAGGGCTCTACTCCCCTCAATGACTCTATACCCTCCCCTCCTACTTTGAAAGATTTGCTCACTGTAAACGAGGTTGTGTTATGACTTTTGTGGGCCCTGGGCACCTTTGCCTTCCTCCATAAAACATATTAAAAGTTATATTTTAAGACCATGTTGGTATAAAGACAAATATATTCCTGACTGGATTTATTATTATATGCTTATTATTTTAATTTTTTCTTCAGATTGAAAAGATATTAAAATTTCTTTCACTTTCATGGGCCACTGTAAGTATCATGGGCCCTAGGCACTGTTCCTTCTCTGCTCTATGGATAAATTGGCCTTGACTGTAAGTGTTCCCTTTAGAAGCTGTTTTGCCTTTTAAGATTTTCCTTCCCCTCCTCAACTTCCCAACCACCTCAAGTCATCTTTTCAGTGGTGACAATGTGTACTTTGGGCTCTACACCAGATTCCAAACTTTTTTTTTCATAATTTCCTAAGAAATTTTCCTTTCTTCAGCAGGCAACCGTTTAATTTCTCTCTCTGAGAGTAGAGAAGTCAGCCTGTTATACATTTTGCTTCTTCTCAAGCAAAGCCTGGCTTGATCAGAGGGCTTCTATTGAGTTGAGAGAGTGCAGTTTAATATGCTCTGGGCTTTTGAATGAGAGCAGTGCTAATATGCTCCTCATACTGTTATCTAATACAAATGAAAAGCCTGTTCTTTCTCCTGCAGTCCTGAAATGAATTTAAAAATAAATATGAGTAGTAATCTTTTCTTACATTAAAAAAGGGACATCAGGGAGTCTAGTAATTTTGGAAAATATTAACTCGTATTACCTTTTTCTAGTTGTAAGACCAAAGAACATGGAAGATGATCATTATTCCAGGAGAAGCATAGACTAAAACCGTTCAGTAATACATACCTATTTTGAGAACCTATATGTGCTGTGCTCTGTCCCGGCTACTAGGGATATATAAAATGTAAGTAAAGCATAATTTCTGCCCTTGAGGAACTTGAATTCTTCATGAAGAAATAATTATAACATAAGTAATATCAATAAAATTTGTTAATTTCTATGATAGGAAACACATAGGGAATGAGTATCATGTAAGCAAAGAATGCTTCGGGGATTATTCCCAACTATCTTTTTACTTCCTATGAGGATTATCATATATCCATATCCACAGCAATGTAACTTGAGTTACATATCTGTAGGTAGAGTATATCTCCCCATTCCACTATCAAGCTTGGCTCTCTGACTTGCCAGGGCCAATGGAATATGCGCAGAAGTGATATTGTGCCAATCACAGGCAGAAGCTTTAAAATGAACTGCTCATTTTGGCTTGGTCTCCTGCAGTTCTTCCCTTTGCAACACAAATTGCACGTCCTAGACAGGGATAAGTCCTTCTTCCTGGATCTGAGAATGAGAATATATGTGCATCCAAACACAGCGTAACCAGACAGAGCTTCCCAAAAACTGCTCTACATACCCCTGAGCAAGAAACAAATGCTTGGTGTTGTAAGCTATTGAGTTTTATTATTATTATTATCGTAGCAAAGGCTGACAATACAAATAAGTTTGGTCATCATAGTTTATCACAGATTTTGTATATGACCATCCATACATTTGAATCTTAGAAGCAGAAAATGTACTACTTGACTGGCATTAACACAGTTTACTCAGAAAGAACAAAAAAACCATAATGGTTACCATAGTTCTTTGAAAAGATCTAGAAGATCATATCATAAAAATATACGAATAAAATCTGACTTCGTGAACTTCTTGTGAAGTTTGTACACTCATTCTTTTCTGATGGGATTGTAATTGGCCCCAAGTCCTCAGGAAACTAATTACATGAACTGTAAAAACGTTTCTGTTTTGACACAACAACACCATTCCTGAAAATATGTTTTAAGGAAAAATTTTTTTTAATGAGAAAAAAACGTCTCATTGAAGGGTTTCTTCCCCAAAATTATACATAATGGTAGAAAATTATAAAATCATGCACAACTATACAGAGTAATATGGATATATTAGGTAAATTATGACAAACTAGTTTTATGGAATGTTATGAAAGATTGAAGTACTTAGGAACACCATATAGCAATGGGGCAAAGGATTATGAAATAATGTTAATTGAAAAGAACAGACTACGTTGGAATATGCAACATAATTATCACTACATAAAACATATAAGCGTATGGACTAAAATGAAGAAGATTGGAAGACGTCCTTGTTATTCCATCACCCTAATCCAACTAATTTCAATGCTTTCTTTGTCTGAGATTGGACTAAAAAGGACAAAACCAGCCTACGACAGCAAAGAGGCAACACTCTTATGCCAGCAGTCTTCCTACAATCATTTTTGGTCTCTCATTGCCACAAAATTCTCTAAAGTTTTGGTGGCAAATCCATGTCTAATCTACAAAATTATCTTTGCTCATTCTAATCAGAAGCCTAGTCCAGAGTATTTTTGAACAACTGGAATATATATTTTAAAAGATGGAGAATCAAACTAGAAAATGATGACATATTAGACACAATTGAAGCAATTAAGAATATTTAGCCTGAAGAAGAGGATATTTAAGAAGGCAGAAGATTTTCCTTTCAGTACATGGAGATTTTAATTATTCTATGTGGAAGAACAGGCCCAAATGTGAACAATGAGTAGAAATTAGAAGAAACAATCAAACTCACAAAAGGGAAAGGCTGAGGAACCGTTCCAGATTGAAATAAAACTCAGGGAAATGCAATGTTTTCTCCTGAAATGGATCCTGAACCAGCAAAAAAAAAAAAAAAAAAAGCTATTGATACAAGTAGCAAAATTTCAGTGAGGTCTGTGGATTAGACGGTATTGTTGCATCAGTGGTTATTTCCTTTTTGGACAGTTGTATGATGGTAATGTTGGAGAGGGCCCTTGTTCTTGGGAAGTACACACTGAATAATTCATGAGTGATGGCACAACATGTCTGAAACTTGTTTCCAAATGGTTCTGAAAATGGTTAATAAGATAGAGAGATGATAGCGAGAGAACAAATGCAGAAAAATGTTAAAAATTCAGGAAACCTTAGTGAAAGACACACAGATCTTGCAACTTTCATATAATTTTGAAATTATTTTAACATACATATATAAAAAATTAAACTGCAGAAAGACTCAAGAAAAATTCAATATGAGAAGCTAAACTTAAGTTCTCCCAGTTTGATAGGTGCCCCTTGCCTCTGACAGGAATAAATCAAACCTTCTCTAAAGAATAGAATCTTCATCCAGTCTCCTCAAGATCCCCAAAGATCAAGTTCACCTGATTAATTTACCAGGTACACAAATAACTAATTTATCGAGAAAGAGTTGCCAGAAATAGCATAAAACAAATTTAGAACTCTCAAGATTTTAGACATTGCGATATTCAGATGAAGAATATAAAATGAGTATATTTAATACGTTTAGAGAAATAAAACCTAGAATCCAAAACAATGAGCAAGAAATAATATGCTATCAAAGATGCCCAGGCATATTTAACAATGTACCAAGAGATCCTCCAGAAACAAAAATATAATTATTGGAATTTAAAACTCAGTTGTTTGTAGGATAACTAATAAAAATTAATTAACTGCAAAATAGATCTAAAACTCAGTTACTCAGAATGTAGCCCAAAGATACAAAAATATAAAAGAATATGAAAGAGTGGTAAGCAACCTAAAAGAGAATAAGTTCTAACACATATACAATTGCAATTCCAGAAAAGACAAAAACAAAGAATGGGAAAAAGGCAATACTGGAAAAGATAATGGCTGAGATTAAATCCACTGGCAAAAAACTGATCAAGAAGGATAAATATAAAGGAAACCATACCTAGATATACCAAAATCAAATTTCAGGACAATGAAGAGAAGATCATAAAAGCATGCAGAGAGAAAATACAAACTTCTAAAAATAATACTTAGACCACCTTTCTCAATAACAATGACAGAAGCCAAAAATTAAGAGAATAATATCTTTAAAGTGCTTAGAGAAAATAAATATTACCTATTTATTAACTACTAATAGTAAATATTAGAAGTGTGCAATTTACTAGATTCCACCACTAGGAATGTCACTTCTTGTGGTAGAAACCAAGACACAGTGCCCAGAACCCTGTTGGAGGAAGTACTTTCTGTTTAGCTGCAGAGATTGGGTCATCAGACAACTTGCACCAGCTGTCAGGGCCAGGATTAGATTGAGGTAAATCAGGCAGGTGGGGGCACTTGCCTCTGGTGCAAAATTTAAGGGGTCACCAAAAACTCAGTAATCACGACAAATCATTTTTTAATGAAATACTTTAAAAATCAAAATTAATGAATAAAATCCATTATAAGAAACTATAAAATTTTCAATAAAGATTGGCTATCAGTTCCTTCGGGGTCAGCCTCAGCCACAGAAGGCCCCTTTGCCCAAGGTGACGATCTTCCTGGGGCAGCCAGCATCTGGTGACTGAATGAGGTTGGGTTATAAAGGCCTGTCATTGAATCCCAAACCATAATACTGAGTGAAAAAAGCAAGCTGCAGAAAAACACAAACAGAATGATACAAATTATTTAAAATTTTAAAAATAAATAAATAATAGGCATACAAACATATACACTAAAGTTATAACAAAATGTATGCGTATAACACAAAATTCAAAACAGTGATCAGCCTTCAGCATTAGAAAAAGGACATGATTTGGAGTGGGAGACCCACAGGGGGCTTAAAAGATATTGATGTTTCTTGAGTTGAGAAGTACGTTTGTTTTAGGGTTCTTTAAATCTTTAAATATATAAATATTTTTAATGGATATAGATTCATTAAACTAAGATAGATAAGCATTATGAATGACTTCATAACTAAACGTCTAGAATGCCATGCATGATACAATCTTATTTAGATGAAAATATTTTATATGTGTAATACTAGGAAAAAATGCATGCACAAACAAATATACACAAAAAATCTGTCCTTGTTCTTTGAGCGTTTTACGGCATCTTGCTTCCCAATTTTAAATAAGCGTCATAGCATGTTTTAATGATTATTGCTTTTAATAATGGTGAATATGCTAGTATGTCTCTATAATTCTATAACCTAAAGTTATACTTCTATTGGTTAGACATAACTTGAGAAATATTTAATCAAAACCCTAAGTCCATATAGAAACTGCAGAAAAACACATTCCCTTTGTTTCCAAAGTCATGAAGTTAAAGGTCAAAAGCTTAACATTGTCAAATACTTTATGTGCATCAAATAGATGAGTGAAGAAAGCTAAAACATCATTCCTTTCTCTCCAACCAGTAAATGTGCTTTTGGCATAATGAGCTTCTAATCTCTATAGTGTACAAGACAATTGATTAGATACTTCTCAAGTCATACCAGCTTTTTGATTCACTCCCATTTATACATCTTGACCTGAAGTGTGGTAACTAAAGTGGATCGTGACAGTCAATTAAACCCAAATTAAACATGACAGAGTGAATTTAAGAAGAAAACATTTCTTAGGCGTTACTATTACATAAGATTGTAGTGTTCCTTTTATTGTACTTAAACCAAGTTATGCAGGCAAGACAGCTTCTCAGACCCACTCCACGCACAGGCTTCTGTGAACATCTCAGGGAAGGAGAGGTGGGTTGGCATGGGCCAGGTGTTATTTTTATAGCTAAAGTAGGTATTATGAGTGCTGCTTATATGACATTGAAGCAATGGGTCAGGCTAGTCAACTCTGGAAAAAAGTCTCAGGTTAATGTCATTATGACCCAGTCAGCACCAGATCAATGCAAAAATACTGTAGAAAAGGCCAACACGGAAAACTCAGCAATGGCCACAGCTTTAATTAAGGATCCTCTAGTTTCTCTTTCTGGCACCTGTTTTATAGCTGGTGTTGTCTCTTTGTCAAGGCTAAGATCCTGAGTGCCATTATGCTCTCTCTCCACTCCTCCCACCATCCAAACCTTTTTTCAGACAGTTGTTCCTATGGAAAGAATAAGAGAAGTAAAGTCACACTGATATATGTGATTAAACCAATGTGTTATTTCTAATAAGAGAGTCTTTCTAGCACAAGTTTTAACACATTACATAAGAATCTATCTTGAGACTTTGTTTATTCAGTCCAGTAGAGGGTAAGCTTCAGAAGAGCAGAGAGCTTGTTGGTCTAATTCATTGCTACATCTCCAGCAAGCTTAAGATATAACACTACGTAACTCACTCGTTAAAAGTACTCAGCGGGGGCCGGCCTGTGGCTGAGTGGTTGGGTTCACGCATCCCGCTTTGGCAGCCAGGGGTTTCACTGGTTCCAATCCTGAGTGTGGACATGGCACCGCTCATCCGGCCATGCTGAGGTGGTGTCCTACATGCCAGAGCTGGAAGGACCCACAACTGAAAATACACAACTATGTACCGGGGGCTTTGGGGAGAAAAAGGAAAAGTAAAATCTTTAAAAAAAAAAAAAAAGGTACTCAGTAATTGTTCCTGATGCTGATGGAGATAAAGCCATCAGTGCACTTTATAAAAGCCAGCTTAACAAGGTAGCTGTCATCCAGGAAAATGAACAATCACCCATCTTTGTCTGCACACCCACCATCCTGCGATTCTTCTCTCCTAACTGTTCGTATCTCTTCTCTCCAGATTCTCATTAGCTAAAGAGTGTCAGCTTCTTGTCTGAACCAATAAAACAGAGCCAAAACCTTTCCAGCTTGTGATCTCATTTATTTCATTACATTTGTAACTCTGATCTGATTAATTTCTTCTATATGTGGGCAGAGCTTTATTTTATGGAACATATCAGTATAGTACATTAGGACATTTAGAGATTTAAAAATTGGGCCGGCCCCATGCCCGTGGCCGAGTGGTTAAGTTCACACACTCTGCTTCGGCAGCCCAGGGTTTCACCAGTTCAGCTCCTGGGTATGGACACAACACAGCTCATCAGGCCATGCTGAGGGGGTGTCCCACACAGCACAACCAGAAGGACAAAAACTACAGTATACAACTATGTACTGGAGGGCTTTGGGGAAAAAAAGAAGGGGAAAAAAAAGATTGGCAACAGATGTTAGTTCACATGCCAATCTTAAAAAAAAAAAATTGCCAAGGCAGAGCAGACTCAAGATAGATATGGGAATCTACTGAGAAGTGCTGGCAGTTTTCACTATTTTTCATAAATTTAACACTATTGTCCAAAGTTAGAATATTTGGAATACTGAATCTACCATTTAACATTAAGGAATGCGAGTGATCTCATCAAAATCTTGAAATGCTAGCTTAACTGAAATTTTAAGCATTATTTTGAGAACATGTTCCTATTGATTAAAAAAAAAATCTACAGTTTCTCATTTTCCTTTCATTTTGAATGCAACCTATTTTCTCTTTTATTTATTTATTATTACTTTTTGTTGAAGTAACATTGGTTTATAATATTATAGAAATTACAGGTGTACGTGATTATATTTCAACTTCTGTATAGACTGCATTGTGTTCACCACCAAAATTCTAGTTGTCATATGTCACCATATACATGTGCTTTTTTACCACGTTTGCCCTCCCCCACCCCCTTCCCTTCTGGTAACTACCAATCAGTTTTCTGTATCTATATGTGTGTTTATCGCCCATCTGACTGAAATCATATGATAATTGACTTTCTCCATCTTATTTCACTTAGCATAATACCCTCAAGGTCCATCTATGTTGTCACAAATGGCAATTTCATCTTTTTTATGGCTGAGTAGTATTCCATTGTGTGTGTGTGTATGCATATACATATATATATATATATATATATACCACACCTTCTTTATCCATTCATCCATTGATGGGCACTGGGATTGCTTCCAAGTTTTGCTATTGTCAGTAACGCTGCAATGAACACAGGGGAGGATACATCTTTTCAAATTAGTGTTTTTGTGTTTTTTGGATAAACACCCAGAAGTGGAATATAGTATTTCTATTTTTAATTTTTTGAAGAATCTCTATAGTGGCTACACAAATGTACATTGCAAATTTACATTTACACAGCAGTGTACAATGGTTTCCTTTTCTCCACATCCTCTCCAAAACTTATTTCTTGGCTTTTTAATAATAGCCATTCTGAAGGGCATGAGATGATATTTCATTGTAGTTTTGATTTGCGTTTCCCTAATAATTAGTAATGTTGAACATTTCATGTGCCTGTTGGCCATCTGTATATCTTCTTTGGAAAAATGTCTGTTCGAGTCCTCTGCCCATGTTCTGATTGGGATTTTGGTTGAGTTGTATGAGTTCTTTATATATTTTGGGTATTAACCTATTATCAGATATATGATTTGCAAATATCTTCTCCCAATTGGTAGGCTGTCTTTTCATTTTGTTCATGGTTTCCTTTGCCATGCAGAAGCTTTTTAGTTTGATGCAGTCCCCATTTGTCTACTTTTTCTTTTGTTCCCCTTGCCTGAGGATACATGATATTTAAAAAGATACTGCTAAAATTGATCTCAAAAAGCATACTGCCTATCTTTTCTTCTAGGAGTTTTATGGTTTCAGGTCTTACATTCAAGTCATTAATCCATTTTGAGTTGATTTTTCTGTATGGTGTAAGATAAGGGTCTACTTTCATTCTTTTGCATGTGGCTGTCCAGTTTTCCCAACACCATTTATCAAAGAGACTTTCTTCTCTCCATTGTATGTTCTTGGGCTCTTTATAAAAAATTAGCTGTTCATAGATGTGTGGGTTTATTTCTGGGCTCTCAATTCTGTTACATTGATCTGAGTGTCTATTTATCTGCCAGCACCATGCTATTTTGATTACTATAGCTTTGTAGTATTGTTTGAAATCAGGGAGTGTGATACCTCCATCTTTGTTCTTCTTTCTCAGGAATGCTTTGGCTATTCGGGGTCTTTGTTGTTCCATATAAATTTTAGGATACTTTATTCTATTTCCATGAAAAAAGTCATTTGGATTCTGATTTGGAGTCCATTGAAGCTGTAGGTTTATCTAGGTAACGTGGACAACTTATCTAGGTTTATTCTTCCAATCCATGAACACAAAATATATTTCCATTTATTTATGTGTTCTTCAATTTTTTTCAACCATACCTTATTATTTTCAGTGTACAGGTCTTTCACCTCCTTGGTTATATTTATTCTAACCAATAAAATACCTAGGTATTTTATTCTTTTTGTTGCAATTGTAAATGGGATTCTTGACTTCTCTTTCTGCTAATTTATTGTTAGTGTATAGAAACATAACTGATTTTTGTATGTTGAGTTTGTATCTTGCACCTTTACTGTATTCATTAATTATTTCCAATAGTTTTTTGGTGGATTCTTTAGGCTTTTCTATACATACAATCATGTCATCCACAAATAGTGACAGTTTTACTTCTTCCTTTCCAACCTGGATATCTTTTATTTCTTTTTCTTGCCTAATTGCTCTGGCTAGGACTTCCAATATCATCTTGGATAAGAGTGGTGAGAGTGGGTACCCTTGTCTTGTTCCTGTTCTTAGAGGGATGGCTTTCAGTTTTTCACCATTGAGTATGATGTCAGCTGTGAGTCTGTCATATATGGCCTTTGTTATGTTGAGGTACTTTCCTTCTACACCATTTTATTGAAAGGTTTTATCATAAATGGATGTTGAATTTTGTCAAATGCTTTCTCTGCATCTAGTGAGATGATCATGTGATTTTCATTCTTCACTTTGTTAATGTGGTGTATCACATCAATTGATTTGTAGATGTTGAATCATCCCTGAATCCCTGGAATAAATCCTACTTGATTGTGGTGTATGATCCTTTTAAAGCATCGTTTTATTCAATTTGCTAATTTGTCACTGAGAATTTTTATATCTCTGTTCATTAGCGATATTGGCCTATAATTTTCCTTCTTTGTGCTGTCCTTGCCTGGTTTTAGTATTAGGGTAATTTTGGCCTCATAGAATGAGTTAGGAAGCATTCCATCTTCTTCAATTCTTTGGAGTAGTTTGAGGAGGATAGGTATTAAATCTTCTTTGAATGTTTGGTAGATTTCACTAGAGAAGCAGTCTGGTCCTAGATTTTTTGTTTTTTCGAAGGTTTTTGATTACTGTTTCAATCTCTTTACTAGTGATTGATCTATTCAGATTCTATATTTCTTCTTGATTTAGTTTTGGGAGGTTGTATGATTCTAAGATTTTATCCATTTCTTCTAGGTTATCCAATTTGTTGGCATTTAGCTTTTCATAGTATTTTCTCATAATCCTTTTTATTTCTGTGGCATCTATCATATTTTCTCCTCTTTCATTTTTTATTTTATTTATTTGAGCCTTCTCTCTTTTTTTCTTAGTGAGTCTAGCTAAGGGTTTGTCAATTGTGTTTATCTTTTCAAAGAACAAGCTCTTAGTTTCATTGATCTTTTCTATTGTCTTTTTAGTCTTTATTTTGTTTATCTCTGCTATGATTTTTATTTCCCTCCTTCTACTGACTTTGGGCTTTGTTCCTTCTTCTTTAGTTTTTTTAGGTATAGTGTTATATTATTTATTTGAGATTTTTTTCTTGTTTCTGGAGGTAGGCCTGTATTGCTATGAAGTTCTCTCTTAGTACCACTTTTGCTGCATCCCATAGATTTGGGTATGTTGTGTTCTTATTTTCAATTGTCTCCAGGTATTTTTTGATTTCTCCTTTGATTTATTCATTTATCTAATAGTTGTTCAGTATCATGTTGTTTAGTCTCCACACATTTGTGACTTTTCCAGCTTTCTTCTTGTGGTTGATTTCTAGTCTAATACCACTGTGGTTGGAAAAGATGTCTGATATGATTTAAATCTTAAATTTATTGAGACTTGTTTTGTTTCCCAACATCCCAAGTTCATCTGGTCTAAGGCTTCATTTAAGGCCAATGTTTCCTTGTTGACTCTTTCTGGATGATTTATCCATTGATGTAAGTGGGGTATTAAAGTTCTCTATATTATCATGTTACCGTCGATTTCTCCCTCTAGGTCTGTTGCTTTATATACTTTGGTGCTCC